TAATTCAGTGAAAGAAATAGACATGCAAGTCCAGGAAGCACAGAGTCCCAAACAAGACGGATGCAAAGAGGCCCACCCCAAGACACATCATAATTAAAATGCCAAAGGTTAAAGATAAAGAGAGAATCTTAAAAGAAGCAAGAGAAAAGCAGTTAGTTAACTAAAGGGGGGTTCCCATCAGACTATCAGCTGATTTCCCAAAAAAACCTTTGGAGGCTAGAAGAAGCTGGCAACAAATAGTCAAAGTTATGAAAAGCAGAGACCTATAGCCAAGACTGATCTACTCAGCAAAGCTATGATTTAGAATCAAAAGGGCAGATAAAGTGCTTCCCAGACAAGAGAAAACTAAAGGAGTTCATCATCACCAAACCCTTATTATATGAAACATTAAAGGGATTTATTTAAAGAAAAAGAAGATCAAAACTATTAACAATAAAATAACAAAAAACACATATCAACAACTGAATCCTAAAAACAAACTAAGCAAACAAGAACAGAAACAGAATCATGGATACAGAGAGTATTTTGATGGTTGCCAGATGAGAGGGGGTATGGAGAATGGGTGATGAGGAGAGAGAATTAAGAAGTACAAATAGAACCCTGGCTGGTGTAGCTCAGTGGATTGAACACAGGCCTGAGAACCAGAGGATCGAGGTTCGATTCCCAGTCAGGGCACATGCCTGGGTTGCAGGCCGGTTCCCTGCAGGCCAGTTCCCAGCAGGGGACACATGAAGGGCAGCCATACATTGATGTTTCTCTTCCTCTCTCCTTCCCCTTTAAAGATAAATAAATAAAATCTTGGAAAATTAAAAAAAAAAAAAGAAGTACAAATAGGAAGTCACAGGATAGCCATGGGGATGTAAAGTACAATATAGGAAATGGAGTAGCCAAGGAACTTATACCCATGATCCATGAGCATGAACAATGCTGGCGGAATTGCCTGAAGAAGCAGGGGCTGCTGGGTAGAGGTAAAGGAAAAGGAGGAAAACTCAGGACAACTGTAATAGCATAATCAATAAAATATAATTTTTAAAAAATTTTAAAGAAAATTCCAGAACCTGCGAGTGAGGCTCAAGCACCCACTTGGAGGAAAAAATCTGCACTTCAAAAAGAAGAGAGGCAGGTTCACTGCGACCACAGTGCCTCTTCCCCAGGACAGCACAGCACCACACCAGGAGGGATCCCATGGGCCTGTGATTTCTCCAGTGGAGAAAAGAGAACCGGAGGCAGACATTCAGCTTCCCCAGCACTTCTGGGAGCTGGGGCGCCCCCTGGAGGCCCACTTCTGTCTTGGAGAGCCCAGGGGAATTGACAAACCCAGACCACACAGAGGCAAGTGGAACAAAGAAGGGAGCAGGGCTGACAGTAACCAGTCAGTGGATCTTGGCAGTGAAACCACATCCCAGTCAGTGACCTTGCTCAGAGGGGCCAGACAGTGGCTCCTCCCACCCATGAAACAAAGTCAGCAGCCCCTTTGGCCAGGGAGCACAGTCAGCATTTCTGTCTGGCTGGAGTCCTCAGTCAATGGTCCAGCCCAGTTGTGGAGCACAAATTGTCACCCTGCCTGATTGTGGAGTGCAGTTGGTGACCCTGTCCAATCACAGAGCACAGCCAATGACTCCACCAGGAAGCAAAGCCCACAGCCCCAACTAAGGGGCACAGAGCCCAGCCTGCAGCTCTAGCCAATTGCAGAGACGAGCTAGTGGCCCCACCAAACTATGGAGCACAGCCTGCAGCCTTGCCTAAACACAGAATCTAACTAGAAGCACCACCTGGCTGGAAACACAGACTACAACCTCACCCAACCAGAGCTGATTGCAGAGTCTAGCCAGTAGCCCTGCCCGACTGGAGTCCAGCCAGCAGCAGTGCCCTGCCAGGATGCCCAGGCTGTATTCACACCCAACCATTGAGTGCAGCAACTGGCCCTGCCTGACCTTGGAGCCCAACCAGCAACCCTGGCCAACTGCAGAGTCCAGCCAACAGCCCCACTTGCCTACAGAGCCCACTCAGCAGCTGTGCTGACCATGGAGCCCAACCAACATTCCGACCCGACTGAGGAGCCCAGCCAGAAGCATTACCCAAGACCATGGCACAGGCAGCAGCCCCACCCAACCAGAGATCTCTTGGCAAGTCACACCCGCCCATGAATGGTACGAGCTAGCCCTTCCAGGACCTCAGGCTAGGCTGACCTAGAAAGGTCTTTCCATTTAAAAGTGAACCGATAAAGATTAGAAGAGGTGACTGCTTCCTCAAATGCATAGATACCAATGCAAAGAGACAAGGATCACAAAGAATCAGGGAAAAAGAAACTAATAAAGCTCCAATAACTGACCCTAAAAATGGAGATCTATGAACTGACTGACAAAGATTCAGAATAAACCTCTTTAAAAAGTTCAATGAACTATGAGCAAACACAGATAGACAACTAAACAAAGTCAGGATAACAATTCGTGAAGAAAATGGTAAGTTCATACTACCCAAAGCAGTTTATAGATTCGATGCAATCCCTATTAAAATACCAGTGACATGTTTTACAGATAAAGAACAAACATTTCAAAAAATTTATATGGAACCATAAACAACCCTGAAGAGCCTCAGCAATTTTGAGAAAGAAGAACAAAGTAGAGGGATCACAGTACCTGATATCAAACTGTATTACAAGGCCACTGTAATCAAAACAGTCTGGTAACTGGTATAAGAACAGACACATAGATCAATGAAACAGAATAGAGAGCCCAGAAATAAACCCATGTCTGTATGGTCAATTAATATTTGGCAAGGGGGGGGGCAGCAGCATAAAATGAAGTAAAAATAGCCTCTTCAACAAATAGTGCTGGGAGATCTAGACAGCTACATGCAAACCAGAGACCCTTTGGTCCACAGGCCAGCGCTCAACCTGCTGAGCCACACCAGCCGGGGCTGAAGCAGCTTTATTTGTAATTGCCAAAGTGTGAAAACAACCAAGATGTACTTCAGTAGATAGATGAATAATTTAACTGTGGTACATTCAGACAATGGGATATTATTCAGTGCTAAAAAGAAATGAGCTATTGCCCTGGCTGGTGTGACTCAGAGGAGTGAGTGCCGGCCTACAAATCAAAGGGTCACAGGTTTGATTCCCAGTCAGGGCACATGCCTGGGCTGCAGGCCAGGTCCCCAGTAGGGGCGTGTGAGAGGCAACCACACAACTGATATTTCTCTCCCTCTCTTTCTCCTTCCCTTCCCCTCTCTCTAAGAATAAATATATAAATAAACTATTTTTTAAAAAGAGCTATCAAGCCATTAAAAGACATGAAGAAAATGTAATTACTGTGTGGAAGAAGCCAATCTCAAAAAGATACAAACTTTATTGTTACAACTCTGTGACGTTCATTAAAGGAAAAGCTATGTCCACAGCAAAGGAAATCAACAACAAAATGAGAAGGCAACCAACCTGCGGAACGGGAGGAAATATTTGCAAATCAAATATCTGATAAGATGATATCTAAAAATAAAGAACTCACACAACTCAATAGCAGAAAGAAAAATCCAATTAAAATGGACAAAAGATCTAAATAGACATTTTATCCCAAAGAAGAATACAGATGGCCAAAAGGTGCTTGACATCACTTATTGTCAGGGAAATGCAAGTGAAAAATGCAATGAAGTATTACCTCGCGCCTGTTCAAATGTCTATAATAAAAAAACAAGAAGTAACAAGTGCTGGCGAGGATGTGGAAGCAGGGGAACCCTTGTGCACTGTTGGTGCGAACGCAGTTGGTGCGAACGCAGTTGGTGCAGCCACTTACGAAACAGTGTAAAGGCTCCTCCAAAAATTACAAACAAAACTACCACATGATCCAGAAATTCCGCTTCTGGGTATTTTTCTGAAGGAAACCAAAATACTACCTCAAAAAGACACATGCTCTCCCGTCATTATTTGTAATAGCCAAATGTCAGAACAACCTAAGTGTCCATTGATGGATGAATGGATTCTTTAAAATGTGATATATATGCATATATAATGAAATATTATTGGGCCATAGCAAAAAAAGAAATCGTGTGATTTGTAATGGGCCTTAAAATCATTATACTAAGTGATATGAGTCAGAGATAAGACAAATACCATATTACATCCCTTAAGTGTGGAATCTAAAAATGAAAAAAAAAACAAACAAAAAAAAACCCCTCAGAGATAAAGAAAAAAATGTCGGTTGCCTGAGGCAGGGCCGGGGGGGGGGGAATGGGTGAAGGTGGTCAAAAGGCACAAATGACTAGTTCTACCATAAATGAGCTCTGTGGGTGTCACGTACAGCAGGGCGACTATAGCTGATAATATTGTATGGTTGATTTGAAAGTTGCTAAGAGAGTAAATATTAAAAGTTCTCATCACAGGAAAAACAAATGCAACTTGTGTGGTGATAGATGGTAACTAGGCATTGCGATCATTTTACAAACTACACAATACTGCATCATTATTTTGTTGCACTTGAAACTTATATAATGTGACATGTCCATTATATCTCAAAAAGTATTGTAAGCTAAAGTTATGCTATGAGATGCTTCCTACAAGCTCATTTAACTGATACGTACTGAGTTCTTACGTTGATTTAGTAGCCTTACTGGACTGTGAAGACATCAGTCAAGAAAAAGACAAGGGTCCAGGGTTATAGCAACTTCTGCCCTTTTGATTTGCACACCCTGCGTGCCACACGCAGAATTAGCTGACACATAAGGAAGCTAATTCCTTATTCTCTCTCTGCTCAAACTTTAAGAAGGAGAGATACAAAGGGCCTGCACCGTCCTATCTTATGTTTTGTATCTTCTTCAGGATCAAGACCAGGAAATGTGTTGCAGAGCGTTCAGAAAAGGTTGTTCTCAAACAGAACCAGAGAAAACACAGCTTCTGTGCAGTGCGGATGCACTTCGCTGCTTGCGGCCTCAGGCCATGAAGAGGCCCATAAAGGTTGGAGCTCAAGACGGTCCACCCAGATCCAGGCCTTCTTCTCTGGGACCCAGCCATGAAGCTCCTTTTTCCTATCTTTGCCAGCCTCATGCTACAGCACCAGGTGGACACAGGTAATATGGAACACGGGTCACGTTTTAGAGGGGCGGTGTGAGGAAGCAGAGACTTGGTTGTCCATGACAAGGGGAACCCCAAGGGATGCTGAAAGATGAGTTGCCCAAAGGAAGAGTCTACCTGCCGCACCAGCCGTGCGCCATCCCCCAAGCCTCCCCACAGGCCCTAAACCCAGACTGTGTCTGATGGGGACACACCGGGAGCCAGCGACAGCAAAATCAGGGTGTTTTTGGGTGCTCAGAAACTATCCAACATATGCCTTCTTACCCTCCACAGAGCTATCGGCTGGGCATTAGCCTAAGTCTCCCTCATTTCTGCTCTATTCCTAATTTAAACCCCCTCTTGAAGTGAAGGTTCCTGTCAGTAGCAAGGAGGAAGTCCCTATCTTATGCTAAAAAAAAATCTAAGATCCAATGAACAGGTGTATGTTCTCCATCTCAACTTTTTTCCGAGTTTTATCCCTTCTCTCAGCACTTTTTTGTCTCGGAAACACACAAATTACCCATAAGAGCACCTAGGAATACACTGGGGCACAAAGCTGAACCAGAGGATCAGCCATCGTTTCTAGAAGAGGGAAGAAGCAGTGAGACCTGTTTCCAAATACAGGAATCATCCCGACATTCAAATAACCAGCAATGGGTCAGGGAAGGGAAAGAGTCAAAGATGCTTCTGATGCTTCTGTCCTGGGACACTAAGAGAAGGGGAGCAACACAAGCAAGCGTGACTGTCACCTTGGATAAGGTCTCTTAGCCACGCTAAGCCTCAAATTCCATGTGAGCGTAATGGGGTTAATCAATGGAGCTGTTTGAAATACAAGAATTTTACTGGTTTGTCTTTGGTTGAGGACCAATGTTGAAATGTATGTGAACATTATCCGCTGAATTATTAAGATGAGTGAAAAACACTTTGATTCAGAAAAGACAAAGGTGAGACACTGGGATGGAAAAAATCATCTAGCAGATGAAGACGAGGTACCAACTGAGCGGAGAACTGAGAGCGAGAACGACAGATAGCAATGTGGGGGTTACCCTGATAGCGATGCGGTTAAGGCTGTAAACAGGAAAACACCTCGGAAGGACAGAGCGCCCAGGCAGGCTGCCAGGGGCAGAACACCATGCTCCAGGGGCCACAGGGGAAGCCGTTCCCAAGAGGGGCGAGGTCAGAACCACTGGGTTTGGCAAGATGTCAGCACTTCCGAAAGTCCTGTTGATTCTCTTTTGAAATTCTTTCCTGGGTGAGTTTTATGGCAGATTTTACTCTTTTGGGTAGATTTTACTTTTCTCCTAGGATCATGGAGGATAGTGATGCCCTCCCTGTACTCGTCTAAGATGCAAGGTTGGAGGTTGAAAATCCTATCCAGAAACAAATAATTGGGTTCCCTCTTCTTCTTTCCTCTATGCACCCTAGATTTTTAAAGTAACTCAGTGAAGGGGAACTGGAGAGACTGATTGTGGGTTTCACTGGTATACAGAGACTCTCTTGGTCTGCAGTGGGCTTCCATCAACTTCTCTGAACACTGCACTTAAGACTTAGCGTTAACAGCCTCCTTCTTTATTCTGTCCCTCCAACAGCTTTCAGATCCTACCTAGTTATTAACTTTAACCCAGTGGTTTCCTCTTTTCTTTGTGCAGAAGTCTTTGGCTGGAAAACATGTTTCATGGGTTTAGGGCTATGCAGAGACCACTGTGCTGCGGGTGAAAAAGAGATACAGAAATGCAAAAAGAAAAAATGCTGTGTTGAACAAAAAACGATTCGACTGATAAATAACTACCTGCAAAATGACCTGCTCTCCGCACTTAAAGAAGACAACCCCACACGGCTGAACACCACCAAGTTTTCTAGGGCTGCGGTCCAGACAAAATATCGTAGTTTATCTCTCTCCCCCCAAGTCATGAGCCCTTCTGCCAATCATCACCTCAATGCCATCAGCATCTCAACCAGAGATGGGAACTCTGCCAGCACCAAACCCGTGGTCTCAGGAAAGATGACACGCCCTGCCACTTCTACCAAGAGCAACACCAAAAAGAGCAGAGGGTCAGCCACTGACTCCCCGCAACCATCGCCACCACCCTAGACACTGCCAACACCGCAAATGGAGCCGGAGGAAGCAGATGGGTGGGAGTGGGGGTCTTTCCCTTAAAACACCAAGTTCCTCTGTATCTTTGCTTTCTGTTAAATAAGACGTAGAACTGTTTCCGCTGTCCTGCGCTGCTCAATAGATACTGCTGATGCACCTCCAGTTTATGTCCTGTTATTCTCACAGGAGCTTCACAGAACAGAGGCGTGGGATTGTGGTTTACACGCCCCGGAGAAGGCACCAGGCCTGGCGACTGCAGCACTGAATCTGCCTCTTTCTCTTTAAGATGTTACTTATTTATCCTCAGAGAAAGGAAAAGGGGGGAGAGGCAGGGAGACAGAGAGGAAGAAACATAGATCAGCTGCCCCTCACAGGTACGCCCCCAACCAGGGACTCGGCCCACAACCCAGGCATGTGCCCTGACCAGGAATCAAACTGGACACCCTTCAGTTTGCAGGATGGCACTCAATCCACTGAATCACACCAGCCAGGGATGAATCTGCCTTTGTAACAAGGGCTTATAGTTCTCATACAGTGTTTATTATTATTATCATTATCATTATAATAATAGTTTAAAGAAACTGTGTGTGAAGCTGAATCCTTCCCGATTCCTGACAGGTGGCAGGCTAATCCCACACAGAATGACGATGTTGCTGCTCGTAGGACAGGGAAGAAAAGACGGCAGGGCTGGGGAAGAAACACGAGTTTGAGGAGAACCCTGACTTATTAGAAGGCCTTCTCTCTACTATTCACATCACTTATAATGGTCCGATTTCCAGCTTAGAACTACTTTAAAAATATTATTTATGAACATGAATTGCCACGTAAAAATTGTAAAGTTTGAGAACTATGAGAGGGGATCCAAAAAAAACCCCAGAATTTATTTATAAAAAATTGTGTATTTGTTCTTACATGTTTAAAGTTCAGTCACCTTCCAAGTACTCCCCATTTGATGCAATACATGTATCAAGACATTTTTTTCCACTGTTCAAAACAGTTTCTGAACTGGTCGATTTTGATGCCTTTCAGTGCTTCTGCCATTTTTTGTTTCATCTCTTCCACACTGGCAAAACATTACCCTTTAAGAATTTTTCTTTGTGAGGGGAGGGTGGGTGCTGGGGGGAGGAACAGAAACAAAAAAGATGTCTCTGGGGTGAGATCAAATAAGTAAAGAGGGTGGGACACAGGGGTCATGCCATTTTTGGTCGAAAACTGCTGAACGCTCAGTGCGGTGTGAGCAGGTGCACTTGTAAATCATCCATCATGAAATGGACAAATGCATGGAAACTCTTTTAAAAAATGTCACTGAAGCCAAACACAGCCTCTCACAACACCACCAGCTAGTACACTGAGGCGGATGGGTTCCTAGAACACTCACCCAGCAGAGGAAGCCTGTACTACAAGGGGCCCGCCCTCCAGAAGCTAATTCTGGTTTTCTGGGGGGTCCCCACTTGAAGGGGTACATATCAATTAAGTTGGCCTTGTAAATAACCTAAGATGATGGAGAAAAGGACCCTAAATAAAACAATAGGTTAAAAGTTGGGAGCTGAAGATAGTGTCCAGGAAAAATGTTCATTTTAATAAAGTAAAAGCCATTTGTCAATAGCCCGAGGCTCAGAATAAATGGAGTAGGAGGGTCCGGAAGAACAAGGGAGCCAGACCGCCGCTGGCGTGGCTTGTCCAGGCTCCAGCCTGCACCCAACTGAGTGAGTGGGTAACAATCTGAGCAAGAAACAGCACCGTGCTGGCTTCCCCACCCTCTACTCATCTGCTCAGAGAGCCATGGACTGACCCTTCTGGCCTGACCCATTCCTGTGAAGACAGGGGTCGTCTGTGTCCTTTGTCAACACACTAAATCAGCCGAGGGCCATGTTATGGACTGAACTGCGCCCCTCAGAAAAATGTATGTACTGAAGCCCTAACCACCAATGTAGCTTATTTGGAGGTAAGGCCTTTAAAGAAGCAATTACAGTTCAGTGAGGTGAATGGATGGGCCCTGATCCAGCGTCACCAGTTTCCTTGTAAGAGAAGAAGAGACACGGGGGTGCATGCGCAGAGGAAAGCCCAGGTGGGGTCAGAGAGAGGACGGCCATCCACAAGCCAAGGCGGGCAGCCCCGGCGGCAACCAAACCTGCCAACACCTTGAGCTACACTTCCAGCCTCCAGAACGGTGAGAAAGCACATTTCTGTTGTTTAACCCCGTCTATCACGTTTCGCTACAGCAGACTTAGCGGACTAAGACAGGCCATGAAAGAGATGGTGTCCTTTTCCTCCTTTTCTCTGACCTCCAGTGAAAAGACGAAAGAACGACAGATGATTCCTAAAACACCCTGAGTAGGACTTTTCATACTCAAACCCAAGAAACCAGTTTATAGAGAGTAGTGGTCAGAGTTGACTCTTTATTGTTAAGTACGAAAATAAAACCCATGTGATGAATCTCGGAAGGAAACCAGCAGGGGGTGATGATTTCACCGTTGTCGAATAATGTGAAGTTTTGCACACACACTGGGTTTCAGTTTACTAATAAATGTCAAAAATCGGTGTTACGGGGGGGAAGAGAAACAAATCCACGCATGCTCGGCGCACGCACGTCACACGGGATGGTGGCCGGAGCGTGGAAGTGGACCACAGCATTCCCTGCTGCTGCGGGGGAGAGGCAACCAGCGATCCCCTTTACAAAAGCTTTCACGTCCACGATCACTGCCATCAGGCCCTGACTATGAGCCAGCGCTGTGACCGATCAGTCACATGGATCATCTCATTTAATCCTTAAACATTTATCTCAATCTGACGGGTGATGAAACTGGGGCCTGAAGGGATCACAAAGCCAGGGAGTAGCAGAGCTAAGGCTGTACTTCAGCTGTTTGGACCGAGTCAACCTATCAACCCCTTGCATAAGACTTACCTCCACTCTGGGCAGTGGGGACGGAGGGGGCCTCCTGTTTTCCCCAGGACCCCGAACCCAGCAGGGACCAGGACCAGAACCATTTCCTTGATAAATTTCTCAAAGTCTCCTTCCAGTCTTGTTGTGCTCACACTAAGAGTGGCTCCATTGCTCACACTAAGCAACTTCAGGAGAAATAAATGCACATCAGACCAAAATATTCCCATCCTAAGTAATTCACAAAATCTCTCTGTGAGGCCAGGCCTATCCAGAAAGCCCAAACATAATTAGAAGTTCGTTGAGTAAGAACAATGGAAATTAATTAAATTGGTTAAAAGCTCTGCATGGCATATTCCTGTGGACCCACTAGAGTGGCAGCTCCTCGGGAGGGGTGGGGGCGGGTGCTTTTCTGTGCCCAGAACACAGCCTAGCACATTAGTAGGTGATCAACAAATACAGCGAATGAATGAATGAATCAATCAATCAATCAATCAACAAATGTAGTGAATGAATGAATGAATAAACAAACATATAGGATTGCCTTGTAAGACACAAGACAGTCTCACTGTTTTGTGCCAATGAGACTGGGAATACTTCAAATTCTATGGCAAACGCCCCCTGGCCGAGAAAAGGTCTGCAGGAACGCCATGTCCCACGCTAGCCTCTGGGCCTCTCACCTGTCCATGCTTCCTCTGCAGACCCCGCCCTTTGGCTTGGCAAGTTATTTCTTTATCTGGATGAGTATCCCTGTGGTCTTCACTCTGCTTTCTTCCTGAGAAAGGATTCCTGATTTGCATCCACTGACGACAGCCCCAGTGTTATTGCCCCAGTTGTGGCCTTGACACCATTCCTCAGGCCAAGGTGCCAGCTTCTCAAACACCCAACCCTTGGAGTCAGATGCACATGGCGTGAGTTTTATTTCTGCCACTTACTCATGGTAGGACCTCTGTTAAGAAACTCAAATTCCCATGGCCTCCAATTTCTCATCTGCAAAATGGCGAGAATATTCCTTGCCTTGAATAAATGCTGAACGTACTAAATGATATAACACATTAGACACCTGGAACACTCTGTGGCCCACAGTTATAGTCCGCAGAAATGGTTCTCTTTCTGCCCTCATCATAAACAAGGACAGGGCTGTGTTTGTATTACAGGTCTCTGGCCTTTCTTTCATTCATTGGACGACAACTTAATGAGGACCTTGTAACATCAGACACGGGCTAAAGCTCAATTCTTGGGGCCCTGAAGTGAACAAGACAAATAAGGTCTTGCTCCCAAGGGGTTTACATTCTAATGGCAAAGGACATTAAATTGAAAGTAACTTATTATGATGTAAAACAGAGTGTCCCTTCTACTGATTCCATGTTTTTGGTTCACCACAGATGCAGGAGCACACGGGCTGTTATAAAATGACGCAGGTGACAGCCGGTGGGCGGCACCTAACACCTCCTTCCGTGCCGGGTCTCTGAACCCTGGCTCACTCGGGAATGACTTTCCTTCCCTGGAAGAAGTGGTTCTCTCCCTTTCACTCCCAGGTCCTCGTTTGTTGTTGGTCCTTCGATGGAGAGCGTCTGAGCCTCCCGACTGACCGTCCCCATTTGCTTCAGGAAGAAGCAGCCCAGGGCCCCTTCTCAGGTCCGCACCACTTCCCTGTTCCCCCACTGTCACGGGTGCCTGCCTGTGCCAGGCTGGGCTGGCAAAGGCGGCAAAGTCACCATTTCTATACACCTGAAACCTATATAATTTTATTAATCAACATCACCCCAATAAATTCAACAAAAAACAATTTTTAAAAGAAACCTGCATAGGGAAACATGTAGGGATATAGGAAACTTTCTCTCTTTTTTTAGATTTTATATATTGATTTTTAGAGAGGAAGAGAAACATCAATGTGTGAGAGAAACATCCATCCATTGCCTCTCACCCCCCCCCCCCCGGCCAGCGGATCACCCAGCCCACAGCCCAGGCACGTGCCCTGACCAGGAATCCAACCAGTGAACTCGTGAAAACAAGCTCAGGAACTGCGGGGTAACTGATACCGTTGGCTGCTGCTTCCTCTGGAGTGTGTCTGGGCAAAGAAGGAAACAGGACTCCCTGCGCTTCCTGCCCTCTG